TTAGGATGCAAAGTTTCAGTTGACAACGGAGAACACAATAGGATTGTAAGTAATTAGCATAAATTCCTGGATACATTCATTCAGTTAAGAGTCATGTTAGATCGTCAAGTGCAACTTCATATGTGTCAGTGGTCTTCGGGGTAAGCTATGTGTTTAGTTTAGTTATTGCTCTAGTCGATAAGTGTAACAATTAAAAAACTGGGATCAAATTTTGACATGGGATAACAGTTAGACTTTAGCATCCGTAAAGTGTAGATTAATAACGAATTGCTTGAACAATAGTTATACCTTGCCATAGAAAAAAATAGTTAGAGCCTCGCGAGAAGACTATTGGTGACCAAGTGTTCCTTATAATCTAGTAGGTTGGAAGATAAACAAGCCTTATAATGATTATGTCACCAATATTATTGTATTGGTTCCGGTGTTTTCAAGCCAGTAAACCGGTTATAGTAATTTTAGTTAAAATTCAGGATGTTGGAACACCCTAACTAGGTTGGAATATTTCATCTAGATTCATGTGTATTTTAATGATATAACATAAGCCTTTTAGAGGCATGTTCCAAAAAATGGATTCCGTTAGGATGTCATAGATAAATTTCCTTAATTAATCATCTTATATCGAGTCGATTGTGTCGATAGTTTATGTCTAAAGGAGATCATCAATCTTAGTGTGTAGATTCTGGAAGTCCAGACCGATGAATTCCCAGTTTTAGAAGGCATCACAAGGAGCTCGGGAGTACGTCTACGGTAGAAAACAAACATATTTGGCTAAATAAGTACAAATTGACAGATTCAATGTGGCAACGTCGACTAGATCTTGAGTTGATCTCATGAAACCCCAGTAGGATAACATAGGATTTATCTTAAGATATGGTAGGAAAAGGATTTCGGGGACGAAATCTCTAATAACTGGGGGAGAGTTGTAACACCCTATTTTCGCCATATAGTATGAACAATCATTCATGTAAATAAACGTTTTGGATAGACGACTATTTGAGATAAATAGTCTTGACAAAATTTGTAGTAATCGCAAAACCGATAGTGTACACATAAAGAACGTCCAAATATGACTTCATAAAAGGAAGTTATGATTTTTAGAAGTTGCAGCACAATAGTGTGCGACACAGAAACCGAAAATTAAATCGTTTGATTGTTAGGGAAAACAATCTAAACGAGATTTAAAGATCTCATCAATACCCATCCTTCCATATAAAGACAGCCGAGAATGGATATCGTATGAGAGAGTTACAATTTTTATACGGACTTCAATAGTCTAAGCCAATAAAAACAAAAATTTAAAAATAAATTGAGAATAAACTGACAGAGTCTAAATAAACATTATAGATCTCATCGAGAGCAATGCGTGGATATAAATAACGTTGAAAATGGAGTTTATATGAAGAAATTACATAAGTTACAAAATCTACGTTTTACGCAGCGCTCAATATATGTGGTGCACACAACTTCTAGAAGGTGCAACGTGGACCATGGGGATTTTGAGACGTGGCAGGTAGTGAAAGGATCGACGTTACCCTGAACGGAATACGTTCCCTTACTATAAATAGATACCTCTGGTTCCTTTCATTTATCACACCCTCTTTACTCGAAACTCTCTCATCTCTCTCCAATATCCGACTTCCAGGGTATTTTCATGAATCTGGGGAAATCCACTTTATTAAAGCTCTGAGGCAATGGTACGGGAAAATAAAAGTGCTTGCTATTGAAGCCCTGCCTGCAATCAGTTATCACTAGGATACCTGTAAATTCAACCACGCTTCAAGTGTAACTTATATTTATATTCATAATCATTGTTATCGATATATAAATAAGATTTATCAGTAATTCTAGTTATAATGTTGATTGATCAACATACATGAGAGGTGTCTAGAATGGTCATGTTGGCTTGGTTGTTGGATTTCAAAACCGCTATATGCCAAAATGGTCCTGCCTGCTAACTGTTCGGCCTGGCTGATCCGTATTTGACAGAAATCTCAATTTGCATTTGGATTAATGAAAGATCTAGCTTTCATTACCAAATCGTCATAGAGATTAATAAGTAATAGTATTATAGGTTAATACTTGTTAGGCGCATTACCGTAAGTTGGATCGTCAGTAAGATCACCTAGACAGCTGTCACTCTTCTGAATAATTGTCCATGTGAGTTATCTCACTATACTATGTATTACAATACATGCCTATGTATGTTAGGATAGAGAATTGGTAGAATAGTGTTGGCAGCATTTTCTCTATGTACCTAAGTGTAGACTGGTAGAATAGAAAGTATAAATATACCTGTTTTAGTAGAATCTAAAGTGCAGTCTCTATGTGCGAAATTGTTGTGATATTAGACTTAGTTAGGGTTGATGGTAGAATGACCAATGTATAGGAGCCTATACGCCCACGTAGATTCAGTTAGGGTTGATGTTAGAACGACCAAAGTAAAGGAGCCTATAGACTCACGTAGCTTTAGTTGGGGTTGATGGTTAAACAACCAAAGTACAGGAGCCTATAGACACGCGTAGATTTATTTAGGTTTGATGGCAGAACGACCAAAGTATGGGAGCCTATAGACCCATGCATATTTAGTTAGGATTGATGGCAGAACGACCAAAGTATGGGGTCCTATAGACCCACGTAGGTTTAGTTAGGGTTGACGACGGAACGACCAAAATATGGGAGCCTATGGACCCGCGTAGATTTAGTTAAAGTTGATGGCGGAACGACAAAAGTACCAGAGCCATTGTTTGTATGCATGTATATGTATTGTGGTACATGGTATTTTGAGGAACTCATTATGTTCCGTGCTTACCAAGTTTAATATAAATGTTTTTCAGGTACTCATGTGAAGGGCAAGGTTCAACTGTACACACCCACATTAAAAACATGTTTCCGTATAATGTAATTATACTAAGATATATTTTAATAAATAAAAATGAAAATTTTGGCTTGAAAATTGGGATGTGACACTTCTTTTACTCCATTATTTATAAAAGTAATTACATTGGAATTTCTAAATGTTAATACTTATAACCGTAAACCCTAACAACTATTGGGTCAAACCAATATACAAGTAAATTCAAAATAACTAAACACGTTCATATCATATGGAGCAGATCCCCCATGGGTGTATTCTTTGTAGGCTAGCTTTTCTACTTTTTTTTCATCAAAAGTTTGTATGTCAGCGGTACCTTTGAGTTTTGAGTTTTTAACTTTATGCACAAGGTCATCAAAGCTTCTAGATAAGTAACTAAATCAGAAGAATAACTCCTAACTAGTACCAATTTCTACAAATATGTTATTATAGGTGATCTTTTAAAGTTCACAAAATCGACTATCGTGTTGTTTATTTTGCACTTACCCGATCCAGTAAGAGTTTTCTGCTGACTCAATCAACAGTCAAACTGTTTGATAGAACTCCAAAATGGCAAACTCAGTTAACAATATTTGACCAATAGACTGACTCGGTCCCCATCACAGTCGATGCTAATAAAAAAAATCCTATCATCCCTTTTATGCCCTTGCGCTCTAACAGAAATCACACAAACACACCTCTAACATCCGCTTCTTCCCTTCCTTCCATCTTCCATACAACCTGAAACAGCTCCCTCCGGCCACTTCAACGCCTTCTCAGTCACTGCCATCACTTGGAAAACTTCTAACGACTTCGACATCCACAACAACAGGTAAGCATTGGTTTTGTGTAATTTTTTTTCTTAAATCAGTTTGAGCTGATGTTGAAATAGTTGACAAACTAATTGGGTATGAAATCGGTTGAAAAAAGAACTATGTATGAAATCAGATCGTATCTACATGAAATCTAACCATGTATGTATGAAATCAGTTTATATGTATGTGAAATATGAACTTATATGTATAAAACCAGATTATATGTTTATGAAATCAGATTATATGGTTATGAAATCATATTATATGTTTATGAAATTAGAATATGTATGTGTATGAAATGAGAATTTGTATTTGTATGTAATTAGATTATGATCTTGATTTATGCTTGATTTATGTTGTATGATCTTGCGATGAAATTAGAATTTGTTGAAATCTGAATTTGTTGGTATGAAATCTGAAATCTGAATTTGTATCATATTGATTTATGCTGTAAGCATTGGTATGAAATTAGAATTTGTTGAAATGTTTTATAATCTTCGTATGAAATCAGAATTTATTCGTATGAGACAACATAAGGGTAATATGGTCGTTTTCATTATTCAGCACAATCAATCAGCGAAATAATCAAACAATATAAACCCAGTCAAATATCTGGTCAGTCAGAATTTCTAACCCAGTTAGTTCTAACCCAATCAACAACTATCAAACGACCTCTAGATGTAACGACATATCAAATAAACAGAGTTGCATATGAATCAAAACTTTGAATAAGAGTAAAAGATCTCATTACACAACATTGAAATTGATCTAACATTATGCTACATGACTTCGATATAGACAAGAAGAACAAATAAAGATGATGAATTCAAAACAAAGTTAGAGCATCCAAGAGAGTTTTTCGTTGAGTATTTTCATGCAAAAACTTTAATTGAAAAAAATATATATTTTTATCTCCACAACGTGAAAGTTTTTTCAGTTTACTTGTTTATTAGACCATTATATATATATATATATATATATATATATATATATATTATATATATATATATATATATATATATAAAGAGTTTCCTTATGAACAGTACCTGACCCGTGTATGGTCTATAAAGCTAGTTCCTTCACCTGGATTAACACCGATCCATCGGCTTACCGTTATCTCTATGACTCAATTTATCGACTCCTTCCTCACTGCCTATCTTCTCGATTGTTCCCACTTTTTTCCGCATCATCCCCCTCCCTCTTCCTCATTCGTTCTTTGTTGATATCGCCACTGCCAAGGATTCACCAAATCCACCTCTTCATCCCTTCTTTTTATTGATTTATTCATCTCTTTTCCTCTATCAACCTCGAGAATTTGGTCGACGTTAACAACCATGGTCAGAAATCGTATGTTTATAGGAGCTGATAAAGCTTGAAATCAATACTCCAGAGCATCTTTATCTGATTAAATTTCAAGTTTTTTTCTTGAAAATTTAGCTCTATTGAGCCTTTATTGTTCGTAATTTTATAGTCTCATTGAACATTCTTCCTATTTCAATGGAATGCTAGGAGCAAACTGTGGGTAATGTTTTCTAATATTTTCCCTAATTTCAATTGGTTGGCAGTTGGAACCGAAGTGGCTTTCACCACCTCCATCGGCCACCCTATACGTTGCAGGACCGTTGCTGTTCTAATGAGATTTGAAGGAGAGTTTCATCGTGAACCGCAACCGGTCGATGAAATTCTAGAACCAGGGTATGTTGATTTTCAGCCAAATTAATTATAATATAAAATGTTTCACGCATAAGATTTTCATCTGATTGAATCTATTTTGGTATATATATATATATATATATATATATATATATATATATATATATATATATATATATATATATATATGGTGTTGGTGGGTGTTACGTTTCACTTATTACATTTATTTTCAAGAGTCTAATTACATTTATATATGTTGTTAGTGGGTATAGTCGGTTGTTGTAGTCAATTGTGAGATCTTTTCCTGTTTCCAAATCTGAGTATCGGAAATCGTCTGCATCAATATCAACTGTAATCGCCTTCTCTCTATCTCTCTATATGTACTTTTGGAGATGTATATGTGGTATGTAGATAAGGTGTTCTATGAAATGTTTGTCTGTTTTTTTATTACCGATTATTGTCTTTGTGTTGATTTATTTGGCAGATCTCTAATTCCAAGTTGAAGTTTTTGGGTCGATTGTGTCCCAGATAAATGAGATCACGGTTTCTGGATGTGTTGTTGCTACTCCTCCCTCAAGTTCAATGAAATCTTCAGCTACAACGGACCACGTTCATGATATTGACAAACAAATTCGACCACTGAAAAAAAAACGTAACTCCTTACAAAATATGGGTTTAAACAGTGTAATTAATCCCCAAAATTATTGTTTTCGTGATATGATTGTTGTTTATAATGTCGGGTTCCAGATTCTATTCATGGAGGCTCAACAACAGAAAGCAAGGTGTGGTCACGATCCAAAACAAGAACAAGTCGAGAAGGTTGCTAAATTAGAAGATTGGAGGAAATAATTGAAACTTCTGTAGGATGCTTCTCTGGGATCACTATAAAGGAATTTTTGTTGGGATCATAAAGTTAGATGTACAAATACATAGAAATTTACAGTTCTTCATTGTTGTGTTTTGTATGCAAACCATGTTTGTTAGACATGTAGCAGTAAACTGAACATAAAAAAATGGTGATTTTTTCGGACGTAATGGTTTCCATTTCATGGAAGAAGGTATTTTCCTCTTCTATTTTTTGATAATGGAATGATATATTGTAACTTCACATTATTTTTTATGAATATTGTAAAACTCCAATCCTTGTATTCCATTTTAGCCCTTGAAGTATTTCTTTTTTGGCAAATGAGAACCTTCCATACGGTGGTCGTACATATGCGTACCCTTGGCATACGCTTGAGCATGCATCGTGGAGATGAGGCTCGTACACGGGGCGTACGAGCATGTACACGGGGTGTACGAGACCAGAGACTAAAAACCCTAATTTCATGACTTGCACCCTATTTAAACAACCTTATATCATTTGGACCGAACCCTAATCAGCCTCCATAGCCGCATTTCATCCTTAAACCCTACATTTGCAAGAAAGTATGAGATTTGAGCTTAAAGGTGTGTTTGGTGGCCTTTCTAGAGGGTGTACAAGAAGAAGAAGATTGTGTTCAATTCTTGATCAAGAAAGGAGCCTTTGGATCCTGCATTTAGAGCATCTTGGAGAGCTTTTGAAGGTAGAAAGCTTGCATCTTGTCTATCCTCCTTACTTGTTGAGTTACGGTTTCCTAGAGTCCACTTTTGAGTCTATAAATCATCTCTTGAGAGTTTGGACAACTCTAGAGGTTAGGAAGGTTAGATCTGAGACTCTTAGACTTGTTTATAGTATAAAAATGCAAACTTGATGTCTTCTATGGCTCCATGCATGAGTTAAGACCTTTGGAAAGGTCTTAATGAGGTAGATTGAGTTGTTGGGATCTTATATAGCATGAAAAGGCATAAAGTTTCCAACTCTATGCCTTAGGACCATTAAATCGACCAAGATCTGGAATTTGAGTGAAGAGCATGCATGCATTAAGCACTTAATGGACTTTTGTGCATGAGTGGTTTGTACGCTAGGCGTACTAAATTCTACGTTGTGCGTACATCCCCTTAGCCCAGTACGCTAATCATACAGAAGAGGTACGCTGGGCGTAGGCTCTCAAGAAGCTTTAGGCCTTGGCGGACTTTGGACCTTTGGGCCCTAATGGTTTTGGGCCTGGACTTGTTGGTGTTTGGGCCTGAATTATCTTTGGGCCAATGTTGGTATGTTTGGGCCTATTGGGTCTTATGGCCCAATATAGAATTGGACTTTGATGCTAGGCCAATTAGTGAAGGAATGACCTTTGAGTCATTATACAGGTACTTGGACATAGAATTCTAGGCTCTTTGATTAGGTTAAGTTATAATCCTAATTAGGGTATTTGGATGTTTGTTCAGTGTGAGATTTTGGCTGGTATTTGAGCAGTGATTGTCTTCAACAGACTGAGGTGAGTCTTCTCACTATTCCAATGGGTCGAAGGCACCAATGTCGGCCCATTTCTTGATATGAGATTCTAATAGTTGAATATGCAATGGTTTTGTGATTTGATATGTATTGACTTATGTGAATACCATGGGGGGAGCCCATGGCACTTGGTAAGACCATGAGGGGGAGCCCATGGCCCTTGGATGTAAGACCATGGGGTAGCCCATGGAATTCCAGATGAAGACCATGGAGGGAGTCCATGGCAAATTTATGTATATATGTGCATGGCATTATGTGGTTATATGTTTTGCGTATTTTGGGAACTCACTAAGCGCCTGCTTACCGTTTTGTTGGGTATTTCAGGTACTTTGGTTCTAAGGGCAAGGACCCGGCTTGATGGCACAACGTGTACTCTCCAGTATTTCCACACTAGTTGTCTTGGATACTCTGATCTTTTGAGCAATGTGTTTATGTAATGGAATTTTGGAAAAACAGATATGAGATTTCTAATTATTAAATGAAAATTTTTATATGAATTTTTGGGTTGCTACAAATATTATTTCCAATAACACATGCATTCAAAAAAAATTAAAAAAAACCTTCAATGAAATATATTTTTGTTATATATCTATTGAGATATATTGGTGTGTAGCAATAATAGCATGATGTTTGATGTTAAGATTTTCCAATCTTAAAGTCCCACAAGCAAAGAACGATCATGATCTCAGCACGACTGGGATTTTATATTACTTTTCACCATTGAAAAGTATTCTCAAATCATCTAGCCAAAAAACTTGAAACTCACGAATTGGGGATTTCGACTCCGCTTCTGTTGTTATTTTCTACTGTTGTTTTCTACCGGAACCAGACTGATAGAAAGTGTAAAGGATAGGTTTCAAACTGGTATATAAAAACAAGAGTTCCTCTATGGAATCCAAAGGTGGAAGAAAGGTACAAATAGGAAGCTAGAAAAGCTGGAACGGAATCAAAATCATCATCGGAAATTGCACGCAAGGATCAGGATCCTTCATATGACAATCAACGAGAAACTGCAACCTCTGCTTTTGACTCCAAATCAGGGAAAGAAATTCACGTCATTCAGATGACGAAAACCGATTATCTTAGGTATATTTCTATGTTTAAATTGCTAATTTTTTTACTTATAATTGTATAAAGAAAGATTTATATAAGTTGGTATAATCTACTATTCATTAAAATTTCCAACCTATTTCTATGCATGTTGATAGAAAAATGCAAACTCATTATGCATGCTCTAAAAGTACCCTTCTAGTTTTTAAGTAAAATAATCACCAATAAGTTAGTTCTTAGAATAATTTTCCAAAAATACCCTTATGGCTTTTAAGTAAAATCATAAATACAACATATCATAAGTTACGAAGCGCATTTGCAAACTAAAATATGATGTTTTTTTTTCCAATCTTGCTTTCATAAAAAAGTAACAGTAATAATTGTGGGTTTTTTTCTTTCTCTTAAAGGGTCTATATGAAAGAAAATGTTGTGGCTATGGTGGAAATGTTAGAGGTGAAGGACAATAAAAGGGTAACATTTTGTTTACTTATTAGACATGAAGCTCCATTCATTTCCACTGTTTAGTTTAAATTTTAATATGTGATTTCTTATAATAATATCAAGTGTTGACTATTGACTAAAACTCTTGGGAAAAGGCTTGGCCTATTTTACTTTGATGTTGTTGTAGAGGTATTTTTATGAATTTATGGTATTATAAAATTGAAAATTTGCTAAATAATTTGATTAAGAATGATATATTAGAATCATATGTATATATGATTTATATTCATTAAAAACTTATTAATATTACAAAAAATGATAACACATACTCTGGATTTTTAATAGGTTGTTGAGTATCTTGGTGAGATAGTGGATGCTACGTGTGGTTGACAGAAGAGAAAGCAAAATAGTTACATGAAAGGATAAAAGAAGGCTGTTAAAATGAATATTTAATAGTTGAAAGTATATTGTTATTTGAACATAGTTTTTAGATTAACGGAAGCCAATCTAATTTTAAGTAACACATATTTATGCAAGGTAAGTCTCATTGCTAACTAAAACATTGTTGAAGCAAGAAAGTGACCCTCTTAAACTTAGCTAATTCGAAGCCATCTCTTGATCCGCAATCAGCTTCTCAACCGCAATCACAGACCGCATCCTCAGTTGCCATCATCGAAACCTTAACTTAGCTTTATATGTTATCCTTTACTTTACGTTTTTTTATCCAGTGTGCCTTGCATGGTCACTTAGATAGATTTAGACTTAGTTTTTTTTATTGTAATCTTCGAGACTCTATATATAGAGCTCTCATGTTCTGATTAAACACACATCTTTCTCTCATCTTATATTATCTGTCATTACTCTCTTACCATCAAGATCCTGCTATACTTAAATATCATAATCTCTCCTCGGAGCAAGTCACTCTTGACTTAATCACGTTAAGCTGATCACATTTATTAACTTGGTTTGATTGCAATCCTTGTTACGAATCAACTTATGTGTATATATTTATATAATACTTGTTGTCAGTTATATTTCTGCATCTAATTATCTAACTCTAACTCTAACTCATTATTGTTGAGATTTATGATCCTTTGAGTTAAACTTATTCCACAATATAACTTGTTCTAACGTTTGTTCAAGTGTGTTTCTCAAGTTTTTCTCTCAACAATTGGTATCAGAGCCAAAGTGGTTGCTTTTTGAACAAAACTCTTATTTTTAAAAGGCCTTCTATACCACTGAAGCTCATTTTTAAAAAAAAAAAATCTTTCTCAAAACAAGGAAATATGGCACAAGCATTATCACTCAATGTTTCCAACAATGTTGGAGGTTCGAATAAACCTCCAATATTGGTGGCAAATGAATATCATCACTAGTCTCAAAGAATGGAGAGATATCTTAGAAGACTTGGACGAGATGTGTGGATATCTGTAGAAAAAGGACCTCATGTCCCTGTTCTTACTCCAGTTCAAACTGATGGCACTCAAACCAGACTGGGAGGAGGTCAACCAGCCATGAATCGTCCCACTAAAGATGATCATGATAAGATGGAAAATGATGTTGTTGCTTTTTATGAGATATCTTGCGGAGTTGCTCCTGACAACTTCGATATCATCATCAAATGCAAGTCAGCCAAAGAAATCTGGGATGTTCTTAAGAACTTGTATGAAGGTACAGAACAAGCTCAAGATAAGAAGCTCACAACCGCACTCAACGAGTTCAACAACTTCAAAGCTCATGCTGGTGAAAGTCTTGAAGACTCCTTCAAAAGGTTCAATCTGATTGTCATGAAGTTATCAAATGCTGGTACTGTCCGAAGTAACCATGAGACAAACCTTCAGTTTCTCAATGGTTTGGGTAGACATTGGACTGCGGCTAAGATGATAGTCCAAGGGGATAGGAAGATTCACTCCTTATCTCTTTACAAGTTGTATGGTGAACTTCAAGCACAAGAATCCACTGTACTCAAAGACTATGCAGACTTCGGAGGCCCACTCGCTCTCATAGCTCAAGCTCCTCACACCCAATCTGCAATTTACTCTCCCTCGTATGACAACCCACCACAGTCATACGAAGTTGATTCAGAATACGATGATGAAGAAGAGTTCCAAAAGGCTATAGCTCTTGTTAGCCAACAGTTCAACAGGCTACCACCCTCATCCTTTCG